CCAGCTCCTTGGCCTTCTGCATCACATTTACAAGCCTCATCATGCAATAAAAGTACGTTCACTAATTCTTTATATGAGTAAATTTTAGTTTGGTCCAAAAGTTTAAATCCTAGACGTTTTAATATTTTAAATTTGATCCTGATCTTATGATATTAGTTCCAATTAGTAGAACCATACCCAATGTCATTTCTCCCAGTTTATTGGCAAATGGATAATAAGGATAATAAATTTGACAGCTATGGACCAAATACAAAATTTACCCTTTCTATTTACTGCACCTAATATCTCTCATTTCTTTTTTCCACCCAAAATATGCCTTAATTTGAAAGGTCATACTGCCACATGAACAGTTAGTAACTAATATATGTCTGAACTCTCTTCTTGCAGCTGTAAAAATTCCCGCACTTCCTGCTGCAGCATCTGGGCAAAAGTGTAAGAACAGATTTGAGTTCTCACCTTTTTTAAAAAATTTGGATATCCAAACCCCCATATTTGTCTAAACAACCGAAATCTCTGAAATAAAGTTAAGGCTATAAGTAAGAAATTAGCTCCACACTTTGTTGTTAGTTTGAGATGCTTCTCTTCAATTAGGATTTCCCATGATTCCACTCGATGTTGGTTGGTAACATAAATCCTTAATCCCATGCCTTAAATACCCCTAAAAGGAACAGTAATAGGTTCCGGCTTAAGATTTTCCAGCATACAATTACTAAAATGAACCAAAGCATGCAACTTGTTTTTCTATAGCTATATCTATCGAGTCGAGTTGCATATCCTTTTATTTGACTGAAATTCTTGTACATTTGTCAGGTCTTTATGCTGTAGACAAAAAGGTCGCTTCTGATCCTAGTAGTCTCAGCAGTGGTTGTGCTTCTGTAAAGTTATTCGCGAGTCGCCACCTTTCTCCTTAAGTTGTATGGAAAATGTTAAAGATGGCCTTATCAGTCCTTGAAAGTAAGGAAGCCATTGAAGCCATAGCGCAACTTCTGTATGAGATCAATCTGCAGCAACACAAGAAAAATTTGTGGAGCTGAGGCAGAGAATGATGATACAAGGGAGTGATATAACATTTAGTTTTCTCAAGCTTTGAATCAGCATAGCATTGATTCCTGTAAGTTGTAATAAAACAAGTTTTTTGGAGAGAGACATTGCTGGAGATGGAATTCCATGTAATTATATATCAAACATCTTAACTAACCGGCCATGTAGATTTCAAGTCGTGAGAACATTGCAGTGTTGTATTAGATTAGATAGGTTTCTAGCTGGCTGCTTATATGGTTGTAAATTTGAATGTTCTCTCAGGACTTAAAAGAATATTATTATTGCATTGAAAATTTGCTCTTTTCCTCCTCTCCTCAATACATAAGAACCTAGTCTTCCCATGATATAGCTGTTTTTAAGCCATGGATATACTGTCTGTCACACTGAATTCCCTCATTATTCATAGTTAATGCCATTATGGTCATGCTTATATTTAAGGAATAAGGTCCAAATTGGTGACATAACCTAAAAATGCAATAAGGTCCAAATTAGTGACATAACCTAAAAATGCAATTAGGCTACTGAATGAAAAAAAATAAAAAATTGCAATTAGGCCACTAAACGCTCTAAATGTATGCAATTTCATCTGATAGCAGGTTATCATTCATTTCATCAAGTTGTGTGGATGGTGAGTTGTCATTTTTAATAATTTTTAATAATAAACTTTAAAAATAAAATTGATTGAGTTGCATCCTCTTTATCCCTACTTTACATGGATTTTCTTAATACAAAGAGTTGTTGCAGTACAATTTATCTCTTTTATGTGATGATTTAGATACTATTACACAAAATTAACATTTACCAGTACAATAGGTTTCACTGGTCACCCAAAAGCAATTGACTGAATTAGTCCTGAAAGGTGGCTATGAGTTCCCTTCTAAGTTCTAACCCAACAATAAAAGGAAAATGATATAGATACTCATACTCCCATAGAGAATAACTCCGCCACCTATATAAATTTTATTGGGTAAATTAAAGTGAATGTATAAAAACAATAGCTCACTTTAAGATGTGAATCTGCTTGGCCCGATCTTATTTTCACACTCTAATTAAAATAATATCGAGTATTTTAGAACAATTTATTAGGCTAGGTGAAATCAGGCTAGGCTCGAGGTAAGGGTTTGTTTTTTGGTTTTTGATAAGTCCTCGTCACACTAGGCTATGTGGTGATACGTAGGAGATTTGGGACGACGCCACAAGTGAGGTTTCACACTTGATAAGTCAAGATCACCATGACTTTGATCATGGTCGAACTCTCCCGAGTTCTAGAAAACACTCAATTTCCTATCTAAAAAATTCTCAACTATATATTTTATTTGACATGACCTTAAATAGTCATTAACAAACATATATATTACAACCACATAAATGGGATAATTATTAAAAATATAATAAATCAATCCAACCAACAAACTAAAGATAAACTTGAATAATAATATAATTCTAAAAAAAATTAAATTTAAAATAATTTTAAGATAATAACCATTCTAATTAATTAATATAACTAATTTTAAAATATTCTTCTCAAAAAGTTGAATCCCTAACTCCAGTAGAAATCTAAAATATTCTTACCCCAAAAATTAAAGCTGAATCCCTAACCCTAATTTTAAAATATTCTAATAGTACAGTTCACGTGGTCACAATACTTTATTATTTAAATCAATTAAAGAATAACACCTAAGAACATATGAAGAAAGAAATGGAATAAAAAGTGGAGTACACGTATTACTCAAAATAAAATTGGCTAAGTAAAAAATGGAGAAGCTAGCCTTTTTAAACAACATACAGCTTGAGCTACGCCGCATACGTTCTCAAGCTGATATTCCCCATCCTCCTCATCAAAGAGAGTCCCTGCAAGCCTCACCGTACCGTCTTTCATGGCAGCTGGTCACGGAGGTAGCTCAGAGCTGGAGAAGGTGCTCTCAGACACTCAGTTGCCCTACTTGAAGCGCCTCAAATCGGCTTCGTGGATCGAACTCCGCCTCTTGTTCCGCCTAGCCGCTCCCGCCATCATGGTTTACTTGATCAACAACTCCATGTCCATGTCCACTCGCATTTTCTCCGGCCAGCTAGGAAATCTTCAGCTCGCCGCCGCCTCTCTCGGCAACCAGGGCATCCAGTTATTCGCTTATGGCCATGGTAACATATATATATATACATTTGTTTAATTAATTAGCTGCATGCAATAATCTTGTTTATTTGTTTGTGCATGGTGATTATTTGGAAAATTTAATTTGCAGTTAGGAATGGGGAGTGCAGTGGAGACCCTATGCGGGCAAGCCTTCGGAGCACAGAGATACGATATGCTGGGGTGTACTTACAGAGAGCCACCGTGGTGCTCACCATAACTGGGATTCCATTAATGGTGGTCTACTTCTTCTCCAGGCAACTCTTACTGGCACTTGGTGAGCCCAAAACGGTGGCCTATTACGCGCCCTCTTCGTCTACGGCCTAATCCCTCAGATATTCGCCTACGCCGTCAACTTCCCCATACAGAAATTCTTGCAGGCTCAGAGTATAGTCGCCCCAGCGCGCTTATCTCTTTAGGGACCTTGTTCTTGCATTTGTTACTGAGTTGGGTTTTTGTGTACGAGGTTGGGTTGGGTTGATAGGTGCGTCACTGGTGCTCAGCTTTTCTTGGTGGGTCATTGTGGGAGGTCAGTTTGTGTATATTGTGAAGAGTGATAAGTGTAAGGCCACCTGGAACGGCTTCCGGCGGGAGGCGTTCGCCGGACTGTGGGAGTTTGTGAAACTGTCGGCGGCCTCCGCCGTCATGCTTTGCCTGGAGACATGGTATTTCCAGATTCTTGTTCTACTCGCTGGGTTACTGGAGAACCCTGAGCTTGCATTGGATTCGATCTCTGTGTGGTAAGAATAACAAATCCACATCTTCTTCTTTCTCCATTTTTTTAAAATTTTTTTGAAAGAAAATGCACCACAGTACTGGTAAATCATTATGTATCAAGTAAGATATATCACAATGTCAAATTTATAACTCAGTAAAAAGAAACTCAGTAAAAATATAATTTATTTTTTTATATACTGTCATCACAGTTTTAAACTGAGATGTAAGGTGCCCTAAAATTGACTCTTCAATGACCTTTTACCAATAATTTCGTAATTTCGTAGTCACTAATTACTAAACTTGATTGGCCTTTAATACCTTCAATTCGTCCAACAATCTAAAATCAAGAGGTGGACAACAACGCTAGGGACAAATTTTTATGATCTTGACCTGTCATATCAAGGAGAAAAAGTACTCATCAAACGAATATATAGTGCATGCAATAATTATTTGTTGTTGATGCATGTTGAATTGATGCAATAAAAATGTTTCTCTTTTTGGCAGCATGGCAATAAATGCACTGCTATTCATGGTTTCAATCGGATTCAATGCTGCTGCTAGGTGAGTGTAAGGTTGTGAAAGAAACTGTAATTCATTAACAAGAATAAGCAAAGTTTAAATACAGTTAAAGGGAAGTTCAACTACTGACTAGTCTATAGGAATCTATTTAGAACAATTAATTAAATACAAACCAGTACCTCCTCTTTCGTAAACATGCATATTTTGTTTTCATTTCTTTTCTTTAAAAATTAAAAATGAAGAATTTTTCATCAGTGTGAGAGTGGGAATGAGGTGGGAGCCGGGAATCCGAAATCAGCTGCATTTTCAGTGTTGGTGGTAACCGTCATCTCCTCCGCCATTGCGGTGGTGGAAGCCGTCATAGTGCTATCTCTGCGACACGTCATCAGCTACGCGTTCACCACCGGCGACCGTGGCAGAAGCTGTGTCGGACCTCTGTCCATATCTCGCTGTCACAATCATCCTAAACGGCATCCAACCGGTCTTGTCAGGTCACCCCTACTTTTTTTTTTTTTTTTTTTTAATTTCTAATTATACACTTTTTGGTCACATTACACCAACAAAATATCGACAAAAAAGTAAATCTGAAGCGTGTATGTAGTGGAGTGGTTGAGCTATGGCAGAAAGTTAAATGGTTTCATATAAGCAATGCGGAATGTGAGAGTGGTCCCAACTTACTTTTATGGTTTCGATCGAGTTTACTAAACTGATGAAAACATAATAATGTTTTTTTTTTGGGGAATTTGCAGGTGTTGCTGTTGGGGGTGTGGATGGCAATCGTTTGTTGCGTATGTTAATGTTGGGTGTTACTACATCGTAGGGATTCCATTAGGGTGTCTTCTTGGATTCAAGTTCGACCTTGGTGCCAAGGTTTTATTTTGTTTATAATATAATTAATCTTGATTAGATTATATAAGTTTGGTGGTCAAACAAAATTGTGTTATGATGAATATTTGGGTGGCAGGGAATTTGGTCTGGTATGATAGGAGGCACAGCAATGCAGACCTTCATCTTACTCTGGGTTACATTTCGGACGGATTGGAATAAAGAGGTAACACATTAATAAATTGAGAAAAATTCCATGATCGATTGACTTTAGTTGACATATATGAAAAAATAGAAAAATTGTACTCGATTAGACTTGGACACTCTAGCTAGTGCCTAGTCGAGTATTAGTATATTCAAAATTAACATAACTTGAATTATTGTTAATCAAGTTGCTTGAGTTCCATTGAGTTTGGTTCAAAATACTAACTAATTAATACAATGGAGTGTTTGGTAAATACTAAATAGTTATTAGCTGGTTGTGTTAGTAAGTTTAACTAGTTTGATAGCATTAGCTAATTGTAGAAATATGTTTGGTAAATTAACTGATAGTTGATTACATGCAAAATAACTTTCTTAAGAAAGCTGATCGAAAAAACTGCT